ATAGATCAGACAAGGTTCTTTGGGTAAATGAGATATCTTTTATTAGACTAACTAAATAGTTGGAAATAGTTGTTCTTTGCAAGCTTTTGGGTACAAACACCCTTCAGTTTCCTCCATATTGGCTTCTATCATATCCAGGAGAGCACATTACAACTGTAGACTCTCCCTCTGCCTGAAGAAGGGTGTTGTACCAGAAAGCTTACAAAGAACAATTTTTCCAGCTATTTAGCTGGTCTAATAAAAGATATCTCATTTACCCAAAGAACCTTGTCTGGATCATTGTTTTTCACTCCAGAGGTGTTGACAATCATCTCTTCTTTTGATTCCTTTAACCAAGATAAACTTTCTTAGGGCAATTTTGCTGTGTGCTAGCTGTTCCTGGTCTCTCTCTTCCTATTTCACAGCCTTGGATACTTGTTAGCAGTTTTCAACAGACAGACCAGTGTTTAGCAGTAGCTAACATTGCAGCTTTTGGTTAAGCAGGACAGGGCGGGTCAGTCAGATGAAGATTGGGCTCTGTCCTTGCCTTCCATGACTCTGGAAATAAGTCTTCATTCTGCCCTTCAAAAACATGGTATGAATTGTATTCTGGGGCATGGTGGACATGAGAACATATGGTATTATTCCAAAGAATAAAAATACTGAAAAGGGAATGAAAAGGGGAAAATAGAAACACCAAAAGGAGGGGGATAAGAAGAGAGAAGAGAGGTACTTAGATGAGGAGAAGGAAAAAAATGGGAATAGAGTGGGGAGGGCATCCTCAGAATGCCTATGAAATGGATTAGGTTGTGGGTGCTCTTGCCTAGTGGTTAGGCCACCAGAGAAGGGCCAGAGACAGGGCAGAGTCCAAACATAGGCCCAATCCAGGGTCAGTAAACTGATGCCAAGTCACTAAATCCAGGGAAAATCCAAAGGCAAGGTCCAAATCACAAGCTAAGTTGAAGTTCAGGAGTCAGAGGCCAAGTTACTAAATCCAACGGAAAAATCCAAAAACTAAAGTCTGAGAACAGAGCAAGCAGGGTCAGGACACCAGGAGTACTAAATTGCAGAAAGGCAGACCATCAGTAGGAACTGTTGGCTAGCCTAGAATCTGCTACCACAGCTGGAGCTAAATGGGGAAGTTGCTTTTCCAGCAGCTGATCAGGATGCCAAGACAGTGGTCAGCTGGCATCATTTGCTGGGTTGGAGCTGCCAGTCAAAGCCCCAGGCAGGTGTGGCCTACTAGGCAATTAGTACAGGCTGGGCTGCTTGTTAGGACCTCTGAGGACTGCAAGTATTAGCAAAAAGCACAACTTGCTGAAACATCTGGCGCAACAATTTCAGCATTCTCCATGAAAAAAAATGAACGTTAATCCCCTGGTTGCCATAAATTATAATTCAGAGGTGCTCTCTAGCATAGGAGACTCAGAAACAGTCCCTGAGTTAGAGAGTAGCTGCTAGAGCAGGGGTGGGCAATTATTTCGGGCAGAGGGCCACTTACTGAGATTTGGCAAGCCATCAAGGGTCGCATGATAGGCAGACAGGGGCAGATAAATATTAATTTTCTAAATTTTTTATGGGCTCCGCGGGCCGGATAGGATGGCTTGGCAGGCCGCATTTTTCCCACCTCTGTGCTAGAGGGTCTGCAGAGCCTTGCCAACTGCTCTACAATAGAAATTACAGAAACTGTCACTTAGTTCTTTTCATTCATGCCTGACTGTCTTCAGTGAGTCTTATCAACACTACAGTCACCATATAGATAATCCAACAAAAAGTGCACTCAGAGCATCCCCAGCACCCTCTGATTTTGGCAAACCACTTCAGAATTTAAAGAGGCGACAGCAATTGATTAAGAAGAGAAATGATTGCAAAGGATAAAGATGACCGACAATACTGAAGAAACTTTAAGACACTGGGGCCAAATTTTGGCCACAATGTTTTAAGGGGAGGAAGAGGGACTTTAGATTCACCTGGTTTGTGAATCCCTGTCTCCCCAAAGAATCAGCTACTTCTGCAAATTAAATAAAAATAAATAATTGTCCATCCTTTGTGCCGGTGCTCGCCACTCTGAGTCACCTGCCTGATGTAAAGCAGACAGAACATGGCCACATCCACCTATTTGAGAAGTCTGTGAAGCTGGGCACTTCTTTGGTATAAAGTGGTCAGTGCTGACTTCTACAGCTATGCCTTCTGACCCTGACACTGCTTTGCCAATTGGCAGCCTACAGCCTCTAAGAGCCATACATCGGTTGTTATATAATAATCTACCCTAAGCCCAATGTACTTGCTTTAAGAACCAAGGAACAATGGTCACAAACTGACAGAGAACAGATTTAGGCTAGATATCAGGAAAAACTTCTTCACGGTAAGAGTGGCCAAAATTTGGAATGGGCTTCCAAGGGAGGTGGTGCTCTCCCCTACCTTGGGGGTCTTTAAGAGGAGACTGGATAGGCACCTGGCTGGGGCCATCTGACCCCAGCACTATTTCCTGCCTCGGCAGGGGGGCACACTCGATATGTTGACGTCCCTTCTGACCCTAGCATCTATGAATCTATGAACCAGGAATTGATGACTCTTGGGTTGGTATCATTACGCACCATTTCAAATGTAGAGCAAAAAACTGCTTATAATGTTCTGAGATTACTGGAAGGAATTCATGATATAAATACTAATTATTATATGTTCACCCAGTCTAAACGAACCTACTATATTGGTTTGACTACACACACACACACACACACACGCATATGTATGTACACATATAGAAAATATATATTATATTATACTACTTTAAGGGGTGCAACCTCTGTAAATAAATGTTCAGAGGAAAACAAGTAAAATGGAAATGCTATAGCTAAAATCTGGGTTATTAAAATTATTGAATTGTATTGCAGTAATATGCATGAATCCCATTCTTTTCCTGTGTACATGCACGCACATACTCCAGAGCAGATGCAGAAGTCACAAGTCATTACTGTGATTCGTGCTTCAGTTCAGAGAGTATGAGGATGTGCCGAAGACATCAGTGTGACTAATAGGGCCAAGAAATTCCTGAGAGAATAGGAATGATTGTTAACAGTTCTGAGAAAATCTTCCTCTGTGTTATTATCCCATAGAGAGAGATAGTGGGTCTTAACAGTCTTAACCAAACAAATAGCTCTGAGAAACTAGAAATATTCCCTTTGAGACTTGAGTAAAAGGAAATTAAAAAAAAGAAGCTTAAAGCGGTGACATATTGTCGGTGAGACACTTAGACCTGTCCCTACTTAGTGCATCAGATCAGAATTTCCATAATCCCATAGGAGATGCTGTATAATCAACGGAATAAAAGACACAACGTTCCAGTTAACCTACTGCCTTCTTTGAACATCTGGTTTGATTCCTTACTAAAAAGCAGGAATAATTTACTATGGGATATATGCTTTACAACTATCGGAAAACAATATGCTGGCAGTTCAAATGATGCCTGAAGTCTAACATCTTGGGGAAAAAATGAATAATAAAAGTAGTTTGAAAATTGCATTTCCTTCTAGCCTGCACAAGGTGCTGGATGGCTGGGAAAGGTGAAGAACGGAACCAGCTCCTAGACTTCTGAAAGTTCGCATGAGTTGGAAAAATGCTCCTTGTCTGATTGCTTTAAACAGACTTCAGGTTTTAAAGTTCCAGTTTCTTTTCTCAAGTGCCTCCTTCCTGTGACCCATGTAATAGGCTTGATGGCACAATATTGATGCAGAACAAACAGATGCAACTCCTCCTTCAAAAGCCTTCAGATGCTTCAAGCAGCAGTATGAAATCCTTAAAATGGCCGCTGTTTCCTCAGTGGCTACTTGTGCACTGTAAGCAATGTCTAACTAAACCAATGAATAGACCAGAAGGGGAGAGAAAGAACAGCTTTGTGACTAAACAACTAAACATGGCTCCATTGACAGCTCTGCAATAAGTCTCCCACATGAACGACTGGTGCCTCCCGAGACTGGGGGGTGGGCACAATTTGTGGGCAGCAGCATCAGCCAGGGGTGGTGAGTGGTGACTGCCCGCAGAAGCCGGTGGTGGCAGTGGGGGCTGGGGAGGGATGGTGAGCGGCAACCACCTGCAGAAGCCAGTGATGGTGTCAGAGGTGGGGTTGCGAGTGGTGTGCCGTGAATGCCCACAGAAGCCGGTGTCAGCATGTGGCAACCGCCTGCACAAGCCGGTGGCAGTGGTGAGTGGCGACTGCTCGCAAAAACTGGAGTTGGTAGCCAATCTCGGGGGGAGGGGGGCATGTGCCCCCCTGTGCCATCCCTACATGTTACCTATGGTTTCCCATGTAAGCTAGATCACTAATTTTCTGTTCTTCCATCTTCCATATAAAAAATGGGGATAAAAGTATTTCTTCTCTCACACTGTTTCGTAGCTCACATTGTAAGTTCTTGTAGCAGGGATTTATATTTTTGGGCAGTGCCTGACAGTAGAGGATAATCACAATTGGAGGTTTATTTTCATCGTGCTACTGGTACTCTGTAGACTACAGGCACACAATAGGACACCATGTGTGTGCATTGAACACTGTTCTTTATATTTATAGTGCCTGTGGGCTATTTGGTTCCTTTAACCATACAAAATGGAAGGTAGCAACACGTAGCAAACTAGGAGTTAAAAACAGGAGGAGGAGCACATTTTGCTACATTCTTCTTTCTTCATATGCTTGGATCATTTGAGCTCTGGGATGGATGTACCAGGTAAGGTCTGGCAGGGGAAACATTGGGCAGCAGCTGCACTCTGCAACTTTCCCCCTAGCAACCGGGCAGATTTTGTCACAAAAAAATCTGGCAAGAGGTGACCTCTGCTTAGACTAGTGATAAGTTAACTCCCCACTGTGCATTTGACATTTGACAATTTCTTCTCCAGCCCTGCAAGGTCTTCATTGCAAATAGTGGTAAAATAAGTTATTCTAAACTCGGTCAAATCTGTATACTCAGGAGATGCTGTTAACTACCATTACCACATACAAACCTAAAAGAAAGAAAAGGAAACATGGTGCTTGTATTTGGCAACAATAGTTTTATTTTGGTGCTATTTAGTTGAAAGGTAGTGTTTTTAAACTCCCAATATGTATATTCTCCCCCGATGCATTAATTGGCATATTGGAACAACACTGCATGTGAATGAAACAAGACAAAACCAAATATCAGTTCATACATAAGAAGTTCAACACAAAGGAACCTACTACTACAAGACTCGTTTAGATTCTGATTAGTCAGGGATGTAATTAATGCCTTATTATTTTTTCTTGATTTTTATTTAAGACCTAAGTCCATATGCCTTGAGCTGGCAAAATTCCCCATGGGAATTCAGGATGCATAAGAAATACATCTTTCAGCTTGCAATAGATTAGATCAGAAATCTAAAGACCATATGCAAACCAATATACCAAATGGAACATATATACATTTCTTCACGTAACTGTTTTTTGAAGTTTGATCTAATGAATGTTTTAGATGAATTGGGATTGTTTCTGCAGTAGAACCACACCAATTTATATCTAGTAAAAGACTAGCCCTCTCTATTAACATCTACCGGGTGGTCAATCTGACACCTTTTGCAGCTATTTAAGAAACCATTTGATTGAGAAATCACATCTAATATAAGCTTCAATTAGACTTTCTAGGTTTCAAAATGTCTGATTTTTAAAAAAATAAAAATTGCTTAGATTTATACGTACACTTCTTTTTTGGGTAGGATAATCTGAGGAAGATTCCATTTCTGTGAAAGAAAATGCCAAGACCTTTAAAATGGCTTCAAATTAATTTTACAAGTATAATTTTATCTGACCAACTATTTTATAATCAGGTTAATACAGTATCCACAATATAAGGGATGTTAATTAACCAGAATACATATAGAAACCTACTTTCTATTTCATCAGATGCTACTTCTATTTTTTCAGAAGCAAGCACTAGCCTGGAAAAACTCACAATTCTCTGAATGAGTTAGCCTATAAGGTGCCACATTGCCCTGCTTTTTCTGCCTGACTTCAGACTAACACAGCTACTTCCGTCTAGAATACATATAGTCACTGATAAGAATATGTTATATTTTCAAAGACACTTTGCATCATGTACTTGTTTGTGTGAACAGTCTCAGGAAATAGTCATGTGAATAAGAGCTGCAGAATCAGATTCTTATTTTTAGACAAACTCAGTCTCTTCACCCACTAGTGCCTGAGAGATTGATTTTACTATTTAAATACAGACTAAGTGGCACCTCATACTGGGCATGTCTACATGAGATGTTTACTGCAGAGCTGATTAATTAGCTCTGCAGTAAACATCTCCACACCTACATGAGACACTATTAAGCCAGAATAAAATAATTTACACTAATTAGTACACTAATTTATTTGTATATACATATACAAATACTATCCTGTGGCAGAGTAGTTTACTCTGCTGCAATGCACGTGTAGATGCTGACGGGGCTGGCTGGGACACAAGGGTGTTTCAGTGCCTGCCAGCTAGTCCTGTACTGGAGCACCCTCATGCCCCAGCCAGCCTCTTCGCAGCAGAGCCCCAGCTCCCCTGCCAGCCGGGGCTGTTCCAACCCAGCTCACCATACTGCGGTCCCGGGCAAACATGCAATAAACTCCTGTGCGGTATGCACTGGAGTTGATTGCTTCACGCTAATTGCACATGTAGATGCACACTCTGTGACCAAGTCTACTGATTTAAATAGGACAGCTCACTGAGTGAAATGCAGTTCTGTGGAGCAGAAGACTCCAGTCCTCTGAACCACTTAAGCCCTTCTAAAACATTCAGTAAGCTTCAGTGGTACCTAAATATTTTGCACAGGGATGTATTTTATTCGAAACATGTAAAAGAAGTAGAATGAAGCCTTGAACCATTTACAAGGACAATCTCTGTAAGTGCTAACAGAAAATCCATACACCTATGCCCCAGTGGAAAACCCCCACAAAGACTGGGTACAAACTGTCAGTCACCCCTGCCCAAGCTGTCACGTGAAACTGCAATCACACTGGAAATGTGAGAATAGATGTGCTTTAAACTCCGATGAGCATATGCTGGTGTCCATTTCTAGGCAAATTGCTGGTGTACTTTTGAAAGCTGGTTTGCACAATTTGGCCCCACAAGCCTTATAGAAAAATATATAGATCCTAACAGTCTTACAGAATAGCTTATTGGTATTGGCAGCATTCCTCAGTTACTAATTCTCTCTCTCGTACCTACACATTCTGAGTCCATGGAAGGCTTTGAAGTTACATAAATTACCCAAAGAGTCTAAAGGCCAGGCATCTCTCTAGTGCACTTCAATTCTAAAGTCAGAAAATTCTCTTGTATAATTTGCAAAGCTATTGATTTCACATTTTTGAATCAGCAGCTTTCTTCAGAGCATAGTCTTTGTTTCTTCAGTTTTACCTTCTGTACTTTAAAAAAATGTCCTGGAATAAAAGAAAGAAACAATTAGAACACATATTTTGGAGTTTACAACAAGCAGCATCTGGCATAAGTAAATCCTAAGTAGTTCATTTGGGTTTTTATTGTAAGGACTGACAGCAAAACCACACAAACCTCATGCAAACCTACACAAGAAGCCCTACCTTATCCTCTAGGGAGGACTATAGTTAAATTTACAAAGCATGAATAAACATTTCTATTGTAAATTCGATTTGTGAAACAAGTTAATCTTGGGACAATCACTGGATATAAATTGCAACAGAGTGATATAAACAAGCCCTCCATAAAAAGACAGAAACATGAATGGTTGCTGATAGGCACACCAAGATACAGTATGGAGAGAAACTCTTGTTCTTTGGACAAGCCTCATGGGAGTAGTAATTTGCAGTTATTTAGATAATGAGATCAAGAGTGGTGCTGAGAGATGATTCATTCATTTTCCCAACTGCCTGTGCTGTAGCTGGCTCTCCCAGTGGGTGCATGGGTAAAAATCCAATGCCACAAGCTGCTGAATGCTTCTATGGAAGTTGTAAACCTTTCTAGATCAGTGGTGCCCAACCTTTTTTACCCCATGGGCCAGATAGGTTGTGCCTTGTCCATCCAGCCCCCTATCTGGCTGTGCAGGGAGAGTGGGGGCATGACTTGTCCCCAGTCTGGCCACATGAGAGGAGGTGGAGGGCCTGGCCTGGCCCTGATCTGGCTGTGCACATGGGAGGGAGCATGGCCCAGCCCTGATCTGGCCACGTGAGGGAGAGAGAGTGTAGCTCAGCTCCAATCTGGTCAGTGGGGGTTGTGAATTTGGCAGTGGGGGAAGGGTGGTAGTATTAATTGCCACTATTTTGGGGCTGCCAAATTTCCTGACCTGTGGGGAGTCTCATGGTCCAGTTCCATGGGCTGGGGGTTAGGCACCTTTGTTAGACTCAAGCCATACCTAATTATACCTCTCAGAAAATGCCAAATGCCAAATCTGAGTTTTCACTGTTTTTTTTACTACAGAAAAATACTATAGCAATTCTTCTGTTGGAAACAGTTCATAAAGATCACAACAGGTCAGAACATTTTTGATACTACAGGTTCCTATTTGAAACCTCTGGGGTTATCTTGTGAACCGTGTGCACACCAAGCACTGCTAACATTGTGCAGCACACCATAGCAACCTGGTTAGGAATTACTCACTTATCTAGAGAGGTTTCTGGACACGACAGCACCCAACACTTGACAGCATACAATTCCTGTGCATATGGTGTGTATTTTATTGCAGGAAGTAGGGTAACTAATCCAGAACCAGGGAAGGGACAGAAAAAGAAAAGCCACAGAGGCATCATGAATCACAGATGGCATTTTCCCTTTACAGTGAAATGGGAAATGCAATGACATATCTGCACACTGACAGCAGCAAATAACAGCCTCATTTTACTAGGCTGGAACCCTAGAGGGCCTGGTGGTGCAACAGGTTTTTAACCAGAGAGACCAAGACATCTGGCAGAAAAATAGGTTCTGCCAGCATTAAGTATGATGTCTGCCTGCTGCACAGCTTTTTGCCCGAGGCAACTTATTTGCTGTAGATAATACACACAAAAGACTTCTCTCTGTTTATACATGAGAGAAGGTTCATGATGGAAAGAACCCCTCAAATCCCACTGCCTTCTTCTTGTAGGTGAATCAGCTTTTAACACGTTTGCTTGGACTCAGTATTAGATAGTAGGTATGTGTCTGTCTAGCTCATTACTCACAGAGAAGTACAACGGGTAATGTCAAGCTCAGACAGTAGTGTAATGATGAGTGGGCGAGTGGGGAGGAAGTTCTACATGCTGCCTAAGAGGAGGGGGTTGAAATGGAGCCAGGGGGTGCCTCACCCTCTTGTCCCCTACCTCTGCACCTGTCCCCACCCCCTGGACCTTCACCACAGCAGCTCTGGCTCCAGCAGCAAGAAGGGCACGGAAGTGGCACCAATGCATGGTGCAGGAATTGTGGCTGGAGGTTCACTGCTGCTTCTGAGGGGACTGGACCTTCTTTTTTTGCCTCCAAAGCCTAGTGCTATTCTGGCCACTCAAAAACACATCAACAAGAAAAAAAAGGAGGTGACATTTCTTTTAGCAGTAGTAAACTTCTGGTCACTTTTCTTGTGTTGCCACTGCTTTGCTCTCCCCACTTCCAAAGCCAGAGTTGCTGCAGCGATGGTTCTGGGTGCACAAGGTGCAGTACTGCTCAGTTCTGCTTCTGAGCTCATAGTCTGGTATAGACACTACAACTGCATAGAGCTGGGCTGTTTATTAAGGCACAGTAAGAACACAGCCAGCCCCTTCCACCTCAAATATCTCTCTGTCTCCCTTGAGGTTCAGTCACCAGCTTCCTGCACTCTCCAGTTTCCCTAGTGATCTTCAGCTAAATCCAAACAATCCAGCCCAGCAGGGTAATCAACAGGTTTTTCATCCTCCCCTGAACAGCATGGGCTGCTGTGCCTCCCTCCCCAGGAGGCAGCATCCATGCCCACCTTCTACCATGTGTTCCTGGCTCTAGGACAGTGGTTCTTAATCCTTTAATATCCAAGGCACCCCCTGTCAGGCTTAAGGCACCCCTCCATAGCTTTTGTGAATCGAGCCATACCCCATTATAAAAACACGAATGTACTTATTACAGGAATTATCTCCTTGCAGAAGGTGCCAGCAGAACAGTTGGGAAAGCAGCCATGTAAGGAGAGCCTGAGCCTGCCCTTATCTGCTCATCTCTTTATACCTGAAGCCTGAGTCTGCCTTTATTTCCTTATCTCCTCATACCTCACTTATCCCCTCAACCTTCATGCAGCACCCTTCAAAGGATCCCATGGCACCCCAGCTGAGAATCACTGCTCTAGAAACTCTAAAATCCCAGGGTGCATTTGTCTTCCATAGCATAGCTTCAGCCTAGCCTGCTTCTTACCAGGCCATCTTCTCCTCCTGGCTGGCCTCCTGCTGTTGCTGGTGAGCTGACTCCAAGGCCTGCCTTTCCATGAGGCTTCTGCATAGTTTCCCCTTTGGCCTACAGACAGCTCTCATTTTCCTGGCAGGTCTACTTTCCATCACCTGACCCGTTATCGCTCCTTTTTTAACAAGAGAGGCATTGCAGGTACAGCTGAGCCATAAAACTCTAAGGGCCAGTTCAGCCCAAATAATGAGGCAGTGGTTAAACTTCAGCAGGGGCACTGGGGTGGGGGGAGGTACCATGCCTTAGAGACACCTATTGAGGCACCTTTCCCAATGAGCCCCTGTTGTGCTGTTGCGGAGGGCATAAGTTGCTACTGCCCTTAGAAAGTTGCTGAATGTGCTTGCCTATGCCCTCAGCCAGTCCTGATAGATTAGATGAAGAAAACCATGAACTCCTATTTCTTAGCTGAAAAGCAGCATTAGGAATAATAGAGAAGCAAGCAATTCATTAAAGAAATGTTCTGAATGAGTGTTTTATTTCTGGACACCAGGCGGGAGATATGAGAAAGTGATTGTACTCTCATGTGGTTTTAGAGGTAATATATTGTCTCTTCAAACAATGAGCCAAAGATAACAAAAACAGATGTAAAGGCCAATACATGAACAGCTGTGAGAAGACAGAAGCTGAAAGCCCTTGGCATTCTTCTGAATAATCCAGAAATGCTGTTCCCTTCAGTTTTCTTCACACAAGGTTATTTCACTCTACACTTATTTTGGGAAATGCTTAACAACCCCTAATAGGGAGCAGACTGGAGCCAAGATAGCAATTCAGAGAATCTGGCACTTCTCCATGCAGATTATTTTATATCAGTGGTGCCCAACCTTTTTTGCCCTGTGGACTGGATGGGCAGTGCCAGGTCTGCCTGAAGGCCAGATCTGGCTGGTAGACTCCATCTGGTAAATGGGGCCGGTGTGGCAGGGGCCTGATTATGTTGGGGGGGTGGGGTGTGCAGCCTGACCGTGATCCATCTGTTTGTGGCAGTGGGGGGTAGGAAGCAGCTTGGCTCTGATCTGGATTTGGAAGGGTCGGGGTTGGGGGGTAGGGGACAAGGGATGGGAGTAGAGCAGTCACAATCCATCTGCGGGGGGCGGGTAGCTTGGCTTTGATCCAGATGTGGGGCGGGGCAGCTCTGATCAGGACATGCAGGGGTGGGGGATGTGGAGCATCTTAGCCCCAATCCAGACATGTGGGGCAGCAGGGTGGAGAACAGGGAGCAGTCTGGCCCAATCTAGAACTGCACGGGGTGGGCCCAGGCCTGATTCCACTGCAGAGCCAGGTAGGCCCAGGTAGGACTGGGTCTAGCCATGTGTAGTTTCCACTGCTCCCCTCTGCCATATTTTGACCCATGGAGATCCCTGCAGTTCAAATGCCAGGGCTCTGTGGGCCAGATTTGGGTTTCAGGCTGAAGGTTGAGCACCCCGTTTTAAATCACCTACTCTATATAGACATAATTTATTATTCTGCCCCTTCCCCAAAGATGCCCCAAGCATCTTTCAGAAATCAACAATCCTGGAATCACTCTTCCTAGTTTACAGATGTGTTACATCACTGCTACTAAGTGGAGAAGAATTCTATCGGTCTTCCATATCCTCTATCCCATACTTTATAGAAGCTCCTTGTTGCATTTTGTCTATGAAAATGTAAACTATTTGGGGCAGAAGCTGCATTGATCTATGCATTTGTAGTGCCTAGCACACAGAGGCCCATTTTTGTTGAAGAATTTAGATGCTAGCACAATAAGTATGTCAAAAATAACCTTTTAAGCTTTAAAATACATTTAACCTTAAATTAAATAAAAATTACCATTTTCCTCTTCAATTTAATCTTCATTTTTCTTTAGGTTTGAATTATACCCATCTCATTTGATACTTTGCACAAGAACTTTCTTGGAAAACTTCCATTTAGAGGTGCACTGATACAGCGGTCTGATATCAGATTGATACCAATATAAAAAAATTGTCTATATTGGATATCAGCCCAATGGGGCCAATAATTTGGCCGATAAATGCCTGTGCTGTGTTACAGCTGCAGGCCAGCATGGAGTAGAGTTGGAAGGGGAGGTGGGAGGGAAGGTGCATGGAGGGGCAGATCAATGCCCCCATGGTGAGGGAGGGGCAGGGGCAGGCACTGCCCAGCCTGGGGGGTGGGGGCATGGGATGGAGACATGACTTATAGGGTGGGGGCAGATCCCGCCGCTACCTGTACCTGTGAGGGCGGGGGGGGCATGTGCTCCTGGATCTGCGCAGTGTGGGGTGGGCTGCAGCTGCCAGGGGGGGCTGGAGCCAGTGCTACGCAGGGCTGTTCTTGCTGGGGGCTGGGCTTGGAGCAGGCGCAGGCAGCACTGGGAGGAAGCTGCAGCCACTCCACATTTCGCCACAGCTCTGCTCCCAGCCCCATGCCAATGCCTGGTGCAGCCCCGGCTTTTCCCGGCACTTGGGTGGAGGTAGGGCATTCAGCAAGGGCTGCGCTGGGCAGTGGCACGGGGCTGGGAGCGGAGCTGTGGCGAAATGTGGAGTGGCTCCAGCCTCCTCCCAGCACTGCCAGAGCCTGCTCCGAAACCAGCCCTCAGCAAGAACAGTCCTATGCAGCGCCAGCTCCAGCTCCAGCTCCACCCCACAGCTGCAGCCAGCCCCGCACTGCGCAGATCTGGGGGCACACGCCCACCGCCGCCGCCCTCCTGGGTGCAAGCAGCGGTGGGAGCTGCCCCCACCTCACAAGTCTCATCTCCGTCCTGCGCCCCCCCACCCCAGCTGGGCAGTGTCTGCTCCTGCCCCCTCCCTCACCATGGGGGCATTGATCTGCCCTCCCCACCCCTTTTCCCTCCCACCTCCCCTTCCACCACACCACCTGATGGTAGCTGTATCGGATATTGAATTGCTATCAGCCAATATGCCTCCTTAAATATCGGCTATCAGTATTGGTCCCCCAGATCTCTATCGGTGCACCCCTACTTCCATTTAATTTTTTTTTTTTTTTTTTTTTAATGAGAGAGAGAGAGAGAGAGAAATTTTTTTTTTTTAAAAAGAAGCAGCTGATTTTTTCCTCTGGGAAAAGACTGATTTTGCTAAAATTATCTTGTTTTCTATCAGTAAACTCATCAGGCTAACATTCATCTGCATCTGTCAGAACTGCCACAGTGCTTCTGGGTAGTTGAAGTTTGGGTATTTTCTGCCCATGGCTCTCTTTTATTGGCCAGACTCCTTAACAGACATCGCCCATTTTGTAACAGTCATCTCTATGGACTGAGCTGCCACAGTGCATCATGGGAATATCATGACTATGTTGATGAGCAGTAAAAATTACAATTATCAAACAGTTCTGCTGTGTAGTCTTAATTTTTCCTGGCCATTCATTTCTAATTGTCTCTAACAATTAGTCACTCTCATCTCATTGCCCTCCCCTGGGTCTCTGCTGCAGGAGGGGGGGAAGCAAAGGCAGCTTGCTAACAAAACATGCCTGAAAGAAGTGGTGCAATGTTACATCCTCCTGGCCTAAGCTACTCAACTAGGTTCTGAGCCCCATGGCACAGTGGGTTATATGGGCACCTGGTGCTGCTTCCACTCACTCTCTAGGCTGACTCTCCACAGCTGGAATCCTGCAAGCAGCTCTGCACTAGCAGAATAAATGGACAGTTCTACTACATTTAAGGCAATACACAGTCCACCTGACTGACCCACAAGAGAAAGAGAGCTCAAGTTCAATCACATAAACAGATTGACAACCAGCTCTTTACTATTATATTTCTTTTGGTTGCTATAATCAAGTTGTCTAAACATTTGTTTTCCCACAACGCTCACATGCTCTTCAAGCTAATAATCATCCAAGTCTTGTAGTTATGCAACAAAACACTATCAGCTCACAGTGTAGCTCAAAGGCATGATTTTCAGTGCTGCTAAGTACCTACACAACTCCCATTGACTTCAAATGAGATTGCAAAGGCATCACATGAGATTTCAAATGAGATTTCAAATGTCCTGATTGTGTTGATCTAACAGCATTCATATGAAGCCAAGAACCTAAGGCAAATCTGTAGCTGCTGTAAACTGGTGAGGCTTGACTGAAGTCAACAGAACTATGTTGATTTACACAAGGTGACTGTGCCGGGCCAAATTCCTTTCTGCCTCTGTGAGTTCAACTCTAGGCCAACGGTTTCCTGTAATTTGTTTGATGCAGTGGTGAATAATAATGTGTAGCAATTTATATCAGCTAAAAATATGCAATCTTTAGGCCTACACCGCTAAGATAAAACATTTTGAAAATGTTTAGATTTTTCAACAGCTAACACAATGATCTGTACCTTACATGGGTGTCAGGACAGTGACGTGTGACTGAACACACGTCTCACAATCTCCTCAAAAAGGGGCTAGGAGAGTATCTATCTATTTTGTTACTTTAGAAGTCCCAACCCAGAGAAAAGCCCAAATGTGTCTACTGTTGTTTCATGGTATGTATGTGTACACTACTTAGTAAAGGGAAGCTCTGATCTCTGTTATTACATGTAGGTGCTACAGGAACATAGATGTAAACTTTCTTATCATGTTTGAATACAATTAGAAAAGGCAAAAGCCCAAAGAACACTCCAACATGCCATGGAAGAAGACAGGCTTTGGCATGCAATGCACAGGCAGGCACATGCTTTGGAAAAGAATGCATCCTCACAATGAAAAAGTACATGTTAACCCAGTTCTGGCTATTCACCATGAGGGAATACTGCAGTGGCTACATCTGCAGGAGATACCCTTGTCTGTACACAGGTGCACTGCCTTCAAAAACCTTTCTGTTTGTGTTGGGGGTGATAGCTGATGAGGGAATAGTAGGGCTAAATGTATAGGATATGAAAACACAAATAATGATGAAAGTTATTTCCTTACTTGCTGCTTTATGTATAGGTATTAAAAACATTTTACTGTAGTTTCCGAGTCAGAACCTCAGTTGTAGCTAGAACTATTCTGGTTTACAGCCACAGAGGATCTAGTCTTCTATATGCTGTGGGTGTCAGATTTAACAAGAACTTTCCACTACGTGATTATTTGGCATTGGTATGTCAAGCAAGGTAGAAAACAAGGCCTTGCCTTTGAAAATAGTTCTTTAAAATAAACCAACTGGCACTCATCATGTTCAAACTTCTGGTTTTCTTTGTTTTATAAATACCCTGGGAACTCTTTACACCATTTCATTGGGTTAGATATTTGTAATGTTCACGAAGGAGCCTATGTCTTTGAGTGCCTAAATTATTTTTAAAAATGGTTTTGAAGTGACTTAGACCCCTCAGTTAACCAGGGCCTTATGGAAAATGTTACAAGTGATTAGTGACCAAATGTTATTTTATTTAGGCAAATACAGTAATTCAGGTTGAATAAGAAATGTAATTAAACTTTCAGCTTAAAGTCGGCTTTGTATAATTCATGATAACAGTTAGCCACCATACAGTACAAGAGGATGTGTGGATTATGACAACTGAATACTTATAATTAATACTCCTTTAGTAAAAATATCTGCAAGAGCTGTTTCACTCAATGGGAAATGAAGTATGTATACTTACATCTCATCATCATATTCCTTTGGAGGGGATGCTGCAATGACTAAGTCAATCCAGTCCTGCATAGGGAATGCATTGTTGTTAGAAGAGTTGTAAGAAGCCACGAAATGTAACAGCGTCTTGTAACAGGGACCCTTAAAAGGGGTGTTTTCACTAGGCAGTTTTAACCAAATTAAGGGCAAACATAAGGAGGCAAACTCTGCTGTCATAGGTGGAGTCAGTGAGCCAGAAATATAATGGAAGGATACCCTATGTGACAGGAAATTAGAGAAAAGGCTGCTGTATCACCATGGTAATACTCTATGGAAAGTCATAGAGGGATCTAGTGCTTGAAAGAGCACAGGGAGGAAGATGGGCAGCAGGCTGGAGGTTTTATAAGAACTAGTTTAGCAACAAGGCCATTTATTTTAAATTTCATACTTAAATGGGGTGGACCTGTAGTGACCCTTAAGGTCTCTTCCAAGTCTTTCAATCTATAAAAAAAAAATATCAGTACTTTGGAACAAGCCCTTTGAGCATCTTCCACATCTTTGACTTGATAAATTCTCATTTAGAAGACGTTCATTATAGCCAAAATGTGAAGTAGTTTGGGCATCTTTACTAAGGAAATTATGATGCTATAAGAAATTTCTTGACAATTCCCAAATCATTGTCACTGTTGTCATCACAGAAAATATATCGAGGATGGAATGCATTAAAAATACCCACAGGACTGCTGAATGTCTTTCAGGGGATGCAGGTGATGGAAGTACCTACTTACTTACCCCACCCATGTTCCATGCTCTCGATAGAGTTGTCTGTGCTTCTGCCAGTTTAGCATCAACTAAAATCTTTCCATTTACTGCCATTATTTCATCCCCTTTCACTATGCCTCCTGGTGAAAGAAAGGCCTAGCATAAAATATCATGTAAGCAAAATCACTTATGTCAGTTTCCTCTCCAAAAGAGGCAACCCTATGCAGGTTCATAACTTATCCATATGGAAAATCATCTGATACCTTAACTAGATGCCTCAGTTTGTATTTCAGTTATGTAGATAGGAAGGTTTCTTGTAGACAAAAGCTAACAAAAAATTTGGGTGTCACGGCAGTGATTACAAAATCTCCTATTACCAATGGTCAAATAAAGGCTGTTTAGTCTGCTATAATGGACATTAAAATGTAATAACTGAGGAGGAGATCATCCAAGGAGCAAATGGCACAAGATGGCTTAGGGAATCTGTCCATCTTATCAATTCTTGTTGATATTAGGAGTTGTTACTCTGAAAACAGCAGTATTGCTGAATGTCTCTATGCATATGTGTCATCCACTATGATTTGACAAGGCTGCATCATGTCACTTTGGGAGCAAGGACAATGTTTGGTGGTTATACCTCAACAGTGCTTATTCAGGGTGAAGCATGTGGGAACAATGGGCTTGAGTTTGGAATGTGTAAAGTTAACAAAACACAAAACAATGACATCATGAAGTTGGCCTTTAAATATTACTCGCATACAGGGATGACTCTGGGGGAAAAAAGCCTATAGGTTTTGGAAGAAAAGGTGGTGTCTAACCATGCTTTCATAGCAGGGATTCCTGCCTTTCAGCTGCAGAACCAATCAATGTCAAATCAGGCAAACTGTTAGCTTGTGACCTGAATGCTAAAATTGGGGAATGTTAAAATTTCCCAAGGAAAGGCTAAGCCAGGGAGAAATGCATTGCATTCAGGAAGCTTGTTATTCTTCAAATGATGCATAATCTCTTGTACATGGTCTCATCAGCAAAACAGGTCCTTACACCCACTCTGAGTGCTGCTTAAGTTACTGCAGGATCAGGACAATCCACGGCAACCAGAGAGTGAGGTACAAGTGGAGAAGACAACTTACGGTCATCTCTGAATTACCCTGTTCTCAGAAGCTTGCAGTCAAGAATGGAGACAGATTCTGTAAATTTAACTTTCAACAGAAGAAGGAAGATGGTCTTCATGGTTAGGACACTGGACCAGAAGTCAGGAGACCTGGATTTGATTTCTAGCTCTGCAACAGACTTTCTGTGCGATACAAGGTAAAGTCTTATTCTGAAGTTATTCTGTGCTTCATTCCTGGGTCCAAAATGGGACATATACTACTATCCTCCTAGCCTCTGTCTTGTCCATTTAGATTGTAAAGTCTTTGCAGTAAGCATTGTCTCCTATTATGTTTTTGTGGTGCCTGGCACAGTAGCTCCTTCATTTCTGATAGTGTGTCTGGTCTTATTTGTATACAATTACAATATTTACTCAACCCAAACCCCTGCAATATTTACTCACACACTTGAGCCGACAACATCACACATCCTTTCCCCAAAAATCAGCCCTCCAAAACTGAGGTGTGTGTCTTAACCAGGAAAACTGATTTTCTATGCTGGAGTGGAGGAATGAAAGCACAGCCATGTTGTAAAGTAGCATACTTCTTCCCCTGCCAGCCTCAAAGGGTCAGAGCTACAATGTTATTTCTTTCACACTCACTGTGGAAATTGGCAGTAGCTTTAGGCTGAGCAGACAACAGCTGCTGCCATTTCGCCAGTGACTGAGACAGTTAACACCAGTTTTTACCTGATCAGGATTTAGCTATGCAGTCAGGTTCCCCTGCAGTCCGAATTCAGCTATGACTCTAGAAAAAGTATTTCCCCCCCTTCATGCCGACATATTGAAAAGGCGTTTGTCTTAATTGCAGTACAGAAATCATGATTTGGACCGGAGTTAACAGACACCAGGTAATAACCACTTGCCAGTCTTGTGGCCTCTCTCCTCACATTAATTGAGAAATGTGAAATAATCACATAGGGCCAGATTCTCCTTCCCTTGATTTCAATGGTGCTACTTTTAACAGAGTATGCATCATTCAGTGTAAGTCTATTGCTTGGCTTTGCAGATTTACAGTTGCTACATAAGTAAGTGTAAGACTGGCAGAACTAGCTTCCTAATAATGAAGGACATTTTAATTCCTGGACTACTTCTATTACTAAGAGCATCTTAGGCTCTTCCATTTTACTAACAAAATTGTGTCTGGCCACAATGCAAGCAGTAGCACTCAGATTAAGAGTCTATTTGTGAAACTCTCACAGACTTAATTTGCTTTTGGTATTTATAAGGTGCCTATCAACAACAGTTATGAGGAAGGCAATACTTGTGAGGCCAGCATATGGAGTGCTTGTAGAGCTGAGTTCAAGTTCCCCCACGATTACTCACCATGTTTATCTGCAGCACCACCATCATAGATAGCAGAGACAACTATTTTCCCAATTGGAGAATCAATTCCTCCCTCTACTGCAAGGTCTAATGCCCCTTCCTGTTAAAAGGGGGAAAAAACCTAGTTTAGAACAGACTATTGACAACCACTGGAATAGGAGCCAGAGTCTTCCATCTTTCTTGTAAATATGAATAATATGAGTAGTAATAGCCCTTTGGCATAGTCTAGACAAGAGATGGCCACCCCGTGGCATGTATACCACAAGTGGCATGGGAAGTCTGTGTGTGGGGCACACAACAGACAGAGGAGGGGATAGGAAGAACAGTGGCAGATAGGGCAAGAAGCAGAAAGCAGAGTAGTGGATTGGGTAGGGAGCAGAAAACAGAGAAGCAGATTAGTCAAGGGAAGGGGACTGGGCAGGAGAAGGCACTCGGAGAGGGTGCAGGGCTAATTTGTGGCACACCTGCCAAAAAGGTTGGCCATTGACTGGTCTAGACTATTATCAATGGCCAAAGTTTTCAAAAGTGCCAAAGTGATTTTGTCTGCCTCATTTTTGGTGGATCCTCAGCACATTTGGAAAATCAGTCTCAACTAAAATCACTGGCCACTTATGAAAATCTTGTTAATGTTAATAAAATGTAATTCCTCATTTTATTTCAAAGATACAGGTCCAAGAAAGACTAGTATACTGACATAAATTAAATGTTAACAGTAATAGAAACAGTAATAAAACAAAATATTACCACATTAAGTACAATTTTAACCGATAAACAGCATCATTCTTTATTGGGAAAAGAAGAAAATCAGAAAGGAAAATAGCCTCTCTAAATTATATTTGCAATTACCCTATGGCCATCAATAATCAGATTAATTTAAACCTGATGTTACAATGAATGATATATTCTGATATATTTTTGTCAGCATCCAAATATCAGGATGATTTTTGCTTACTATATAAAGAGCCATTTCTGAATTGGGGAGAAAGAGGCAGCTGTGTGGAAGATGCTGGTATGTACTGATTCATACATGTGAAAAGGCCATCTTTACCTAAAAGTCTTAAGTCTTATAATTACAGTGTCCAGACAGTCTCATTAATGCCTGCTGCACTGAAAGCAGTAACTAATGTTTTCACTCAATAGCAATTTTCCTGATGAGACTGGAAATCCCAAGAAATGAGACAGGTATTTCTAAGAAATTTCAATTAAGGCTAGCTGAACTGTGAAATTTCCATTCCGCTGGATTTTGCTTTTGCTAGAAATCAGAATAAAACAAGATATTTTCATTGACTGTAACATGGACATTTAAAAAATATTTTGAAATTCTTAGTAAGAAATTCTGTAAAAATTAAATATGGTTTTGTTTAAGTTTTCTTTTTTTAAAAAAATGATAATTTTAGAGAGTCTATCTGGACAAAAATTTTCAAACCAGCTCTGTTTTAGAGGTGCACCGATACATCAGTCCCATAAGCATATTGGCACTGATATAAAGAAAATTGACTTTTTTTGACTGATGTGGGTGATAATGTCGCTGATAAATGCCCTGTGCATGTGTGCAGCCACAGTACAGCACGCAGCCAGCCAGGACCACAGCCCGGCAGCATGGAGAGCACCATCAGGCTAGTAAGTCTGTTGTGGGGAAAGGGGTGGAGAGAAGGAAGGGATGGGGGGGGGGCAAATCGAGACCCCTGCCATGAGGGAGGGAGTGGGGCTGGGGCAGGGGCAGGTACTGCACAGCTCGCCCAGGCAGGGCAGGGCACAGGATGGAGCCATGAGCGGCTTATCAGAGGCATGGTTCCCACCACTGCACACATCCTGGGAGGGCATGGGGGAAAGCATGTGACCCCGAATCTGTGTGCAGGGCAAGGGTCGGCTGCTACTTCTGGGCTGGGGAGGGCGCTGGGCTCTTCCTGGCAGGAGGGTTGGGCTCGGGCTGCGTGTAGGAAAGAGCCCAGTGCCACCCCAGCCCAGCCCTCAGCAACAGCCTGCCCTCACCCTTTGCACAGATCCAGGGAGCACACGCCAGCCATGCCCTCCCAGGGTGGGCTTAGCGGCAGCATTCACCTTGCCTCCACATGCCCCCGGATGACCTGCAGCTCTGTCCCATGCCCTGCCCCCTGCCCTGCCTCAGTTGTGCAGTGCCTGCCCCAGCCACACTTCCTCCTCACTTCTGGGCCAAGTTGTGGAACAATCCCCACAGTTTGGAGGGAGTGGGGCAGGGGCAGAGGTGAATGATATATCCCTGGCCTACTCCCTCCTGCACTGTGGGGGTCTCAACTGCCCCCCCCCCCAGCCCAGTCACAAAGAAAGTGAGGAAGGGAGTGGGGTTGGGGCAAGGGCAGGTGCTGCACAGCCAGAGTGGGGCGCAGGACTGAGCTGCATAGAGGGGTGGTGGATCCCACCATTATGTGCACCCCCAGGAGAGCATGGGGACGTGTTCCCGGATCTGTGCGGGGGTGCAGGACAGGTTGAGGCTGTGGGCTGCAGCCAGGGCTGTGCCGGGCTCTTCCCAGCAGGGGCTGGGCTGGGCTGCACTTGGGGTGGGTGGAGGTGGTACTGGGAGTGGGGTTAGTCTGCAGCCACCCCAAAATTTGCTGTAGCCCCCCCCAACTCCCTTCCAGCACAGCCCAGCCCAACACCCTTGCTGGGAACAGCCTGGCACTGCCCTGGTCCCAGCTCACAGTGGTCCATAGCCCACCCTTCCCCATGTGCTGATCCAGGGGCATGTGCCCCCATGCCCTCCTGAGGGTGCGTGTAGCAGCGACGCTGGGAGGAGGGGCCAAACGGGGCAGGGGGCTTGTATGGAGCAGCCACCACCTCACCCTGCGCCGCTTTCCCATGACTGGTCACAGCTCTGTGGGCTGGTGACAGGCCTCACGCCTGGCCAATCGTGCACTGACAGGGGCAGGCATAAAACCCATTCTCTCCCCCCGGCCATTCAGACCCTTGCAGCTCTGCTGTAAGGGGGTAGCAGCCAATCAGGACAGTGAGCTGGGATAGGGAGTGGGGAGATGCTGCGGTGTGCTTCGTGCAGTGTGCAGGGCTGACAGTACCCGGCGTGTCCATCCTCCAGGTAAGAGGCGAATGCGCCATGGAAGACACCGCTGACACATCCCGTGGTGCACTCCATCCCCACCCACCTGCCCGCACGTACCACCAATCTCTTTAAGTACCCCTGGGGATACATGTATCCCCGGCTGACAACCCCTGGTATACATATATGACACCCAGCTAACATACGGATTCAGAGGGTTACGAGGTAATGACTATAAGTTGAATAACCTTCTCCTGACAGAACTAAGCCTTTAGGTTAGGAACAGAAGTTACACATAAACTGGTTTAAGTGATCAGAAACTGGTTTAACCTGTAAGAGAACAGAAGTTTGGTGCACATAAACCAGTTTCAATACTGGCTGCAACTCTGGACTACAAATCCCAGAGACAACTGGAAACAGGAAGAGGAAGTGATGAGCAACCCTGCAGAGTCCTGCTTCTGTGATGCTGGACTGGAAATCCCAGAGACTTTAGGGGCAGCAGGAAGAAGCACCAGAGAGCCATGCTCTAGCACCCCCTTGGCTTCTGGCCTGAGCCACTGTAGACATGTGGCTGCATTTCCTAAATCAAAGGTAAGTGTGTGTCCAGTTGTTTCTCAGTTTAATCTTTGCAGTTTAGACTAACCTGCAAAGACTGAATCGATTCAGCCTTGGGCTTTTTGACTGTCTGTACTTAGCCTTAAAGTTTGAATAATGATTACACTTTTAGACATCCTCTAATCTGTGTGTGGAATTTAAACTGTAGATCTCAAGAACCATAGGGGTCTAGGAGCAATATGAAAAGCTAGGTCTACTGGCACAGTTGGGGCTTTGGACAGAAAGAGGTGGGGGTGGCAAAGAAGCTGTGGCAAAGAAGGGATTGGGGGGGTGGCAAAGAAGAGAGATGCTGTGGAGCAGTCTAGTGGTGCAGGAAACCATGGCAGTGTGGAAACAATAATTCTTCTCTCCCTTCTCCTAACCTCCTGTAGTCATCTGTCAGAGGGAAATCCAATTGCTGTATTTCAGTTTAGAGAGTGAAAAGGTAACATGTGAACCATGCACTCAGAAAAAGCCAGCATCCACAAGATATCATGTTGTCTTGATTTTATGCAGGGTTTACCTTTTTAATACGCAGCAGCCGCACATCTTTTCCCATAACTTGGTCTGGTGAAAACTATCAGAAGATATATTAGTTAGTCACTTCCACTTTTAAAAGGTATAAGTATAAAACAATTAAGATGATAAATGCAGTTCACAAGAAAACCTCCTTTCAAACAGAACCAGGGGAAGAACAGAAATCTAAAGGACCATTTGTTTCAGTAGCAGAACTCTCTCTCATCTGAAAGGCAAAGAAAAAA